CAATGCCCGTTTCCCACACCTGTAAGTTGGGTGCCGACCTCAGGCGGCACATCTGGAGCACTCACCGTCTCTGGAGGTGGCCAGTTTCATCTGTGGTTAATTATTAGAAACGGCTCCTTCTTCACACTGTGCTGGAACCCAAGGGTCGTCCCCATGCTCCTGCCCCTCCCTGGCACCCAAGCCTGCACCTCGCTCCCCTAACATCCCTGCTCCAGCCCAGGCCTCATCTTGCCGGGCCCGGGCAAGCTTGGAAAAGAAGAACATGGCTTCATCCCTCCCTGCTTACAACCTCGGGGAACGGCTCCCTTCACCCATCTCAGAGGGCCCTCACACCTCTCCTGCCTCAGCTCTGGACACTCAGCACCCCCTCGCACAGCTGCGTATTTCGTGCTTGTCGCTTTTTCGGGCGCCCTCGTACCTCCTCTGCTCGGCCCGCTTTCCTGCAGCCTCCCAGGCCCAGCTGTGACGTCATCCCCTCTCTGAAGCCCTCCAGGCTGGTCGCTGTTCTAAGACTGCCAGGACCACTCAAGGTCAGCCCCTCAGAGGGTCAGGGGGTGCGTCTGTGGCTGGGACTGTGTCCTAGATGGGAGCTCCAGGTCCCCAGGGCCCTGACACAAATCTGGCAGAGCAGGTGAGGTGCCCAGCTTAAGAAGGTCTTTCTCCCTGGGAAGGCTAGATCCCTCATCTCAACACCAGCCCCACACCCTGGGGATTTCCAAGGTAGGTAGAAGACAATTCTGCTCACAGAGAAACGAATGTTCTTCAGAGCTCTGGGTGTGCACACAAGCCCTACACTGGGGGTGGGGAGGTGGCGCGGTGGAGCAGGGGGCGGCATGTCTCCTTACTGAAAATGCAATGATGGCATCACCAACACCACAGTAGTGAGCATCATGCTCACTGGGGCTGGCAGGGCCTCAGCTGCACAGGGGCACACTAGGCCAGATTCCTAATCTCTCCCCTGAAAAAGGGGGTCAAGAAGGTGGTGCCAGGGCTGGCTGAGTGGCGTGCCAGCTCTGAGCAGCAGGGCCCTGGTTCGGATCCCACATGTGGGCCAGTGACTCTGCGCCCTCTACAGCTAAGATGGTGAACAACGGCTCAATCTGGAGCTGGGCTGCCGTGAGTCGGTGTAGACTGCAGCTTCTGCTGCAGTGGGCTGCCGTTGAGCTACTGTGTGTGGCTGGCACCCAGCGTGAGCTGCCATGAGCAGCCGTCCAGAGGCCGGTGACCGATCTGCCTCACCTGGGAAGAGCACAATGATAATACCAACATGGGCCAGTGAAGCAACGCCTTCCACAACTAGACTGAAGAACAAAAAAGGACAGCGACTTGTCTGTTCCCCTTCCCCGATTCTCCAATGCTGTTCCCCTCCCCCAAATCCCCAATTAAAAAAAAATCTTGAAAAAAAAAAAAAGAAGGCAGTGCCAGAGGTAAAACACATTTGGCCCTCTGCAGGCGGGCATGGTGGCCTTAGCAGATGGTGGGGGGGATCCCTGCGGAGAGGGATCCCAAGTACCTGCTCTTGCTCCCAAGTTCTGGAATCAAAGACACAGGGCATTTACCTGTTTGGTTTATTTTTTTCCTCTAGGGTGTGTGTGTGTGTGTGTGCGCGCGCGCGTGTGCGCGCGCGCGTGTGCCAAAATGAGCCAATGAGCATGCTGGAGGGCCCACCATGCCGCCCTGGAAGTGGGCTAACCTAGAACTGTGTGGAGTAGCCTGGTACTGCCAGCCACACCGGGAGTCAGATGGAGGCGGGGGCTGCCATCTGCTCGTTGCAGTGAGGCAATGCTTCGGTTACGGCACTTTCTGGATGCACACTGAGGTGGGTCTGCCTGCCACCTGCTCCCTGTCACACTACAGCACTACTTGCCTGCCTGCCTGACCCTCTGGGATTGCCCTCCTGCCCTGCCCTTCTTCCTGCACTCCCTTCCCTAGTTCCAGGATGCAGCCCATTAAGGAATTTGCTGGCGTCAGTTACTCAATCATGCACATTTTCAAGCACACTTAGCTGATTGAACCTGCTCACTGTGTAGGTGGGAGCCTGAGGCCCAGTGAGCGGTGGCCTGCCCCTGGCCGCACTGCTGGAGTGCAGCGGGCCCGGACTGCATGTGGACTCCCTCATGACGGGGGCTGGTGGGCCACATTCCACCACAGCCACTGACCGAGTGCCTGGCTGAGCAGCCTCTCCACAGGCGAGGCATGTCTTCAGTCATCATTCTGGGGACAGCCACAGGGTCCCTATGTCCAGGAGCCAGACTCCTGAGGTGCTGTCAGCCAATCCCTGAGGAGGGCAAGGGTCAGGATGCACCCCATCAGGTCAGGTCTAGCTTGTATCACANGGCAGGCTCCCAGATACGTCCTTGCATTCAACTCCCTAGAGAAATTCCTGCCCAGAATGGACCAGGACTGTGAGCGGCTACTCCCCACCCCTCCCCTGCCCCTTCCTCCTCCTCTGTATGGGGCCCACAGCAGGGTGTCCAGGCGGTACCCCTCTGAAAGCCCTGCTCCCTTGACGCTCAGTGACTGTTCATGACACCCACCTTTTTCAGCAGTCTCAGAAGAAAAGCCAGGGGACCTCTCAACCTGAGCCATTCTAGCAAGAGGGGATCTTAAACCCTCAGCTGAGTCCCCACAGCCTCCACACTGGGTCGCCGGCTCACACT